GGTGGTGGTGTAGCGTTACAGTCATGATGCTGGTGGTGGTGGTGTAGTGTTACAGTGGTGATGCTGGTGGTGGTGGGGCGGGGGTGTAGCGGAGAGTTACAGTGGTTGGCGGGGCCCCAACCTTGGATAATTTAAACGTAGCAAAAAGGTAGGTAGAAGCTAAAAGTTAAAGAAGCTAAAATCTAAACACAACAAGTAGCAAGGAAGGTTAGCTAAAAGCCAAAAGTAGCAGAACACCAGCTGTTGGTGTGAAAAGCTAAACTGATGTAGCAAAGGGCGCTCTAAAAGCAGCTAAATGGTAGCTAAAAGACACAAACAGAAGCGGGCCGGCTAAAAGTGAAGTGACTGTTGAAGTTCGGAGCGGCCGAGTGCCTCGGACCCAAACAGAACCAGACTGGTCTCGGTTTAGGTTTCTTCCAGGGTTCGTAGGTTCAGCTGCTTCTGTCGTTGGTCTTAATGACTTCTCCGTGTTCACGTTGATCATTTTGTAGAAAATCAGTGAACTGAGAAACTTCCTAGCAGTGCACAGTCTGACCTTCAGGGTGAATCGGCTGTGAACATTGCCAGCTGCTTTAAAGTTTTCTACTTGTGAACATGTCTCAGCAGAACCTGGACTCCAGTTTGGAAATGACCTTTGACCTTTAGATTGAACGTTGCATCTTTAAGAATATTGCTGATGCCTTTCAGCCTTGGCATTGTGTCAACTCGTGTTAGCTTAGCATTGATAGTAAATATTGATGGTTTTATGGCAATAAATATTACCAGAACTTACATCTTGCTTAAACTTTTTACTGCGTAAAAAAAAAAATCACATTTTAGTGTTTTCTTTCCCTGTAAAAACCTTTTAATTAATTTTAAACTTCTATTCAGGTGAAAAGTTCAGAAGGTTTGAGGTAAATTTGGTTAAATAACTGCAATCTGGTTGCCCGTCGCCATTGCTGTTTTTTTGGTTTTTTTTACCGCCGTCGACTTCGTCCGGCAATGGTTGCCCCCCGAAAAAATAAACAAAAAAACCCCGTTGCCGTCTCCGGTAACACGTCGACAACTGGAGCGGCAACAGTTTGGACGTGCAACGTGAATATTCGAGTTAAAATTCGGACATACTTGAGAAAAACGCTATGAGCGCGCGCTCCTTCTCCTCCGTCCAGTTTCTCTCCAGCGCCAAGAGGCAACGAGACGACGCCATGTTTGTTGTTGCCGTTCGGGCTCTCTTCTTGTCGGCTGCCAGGTCACGTGACCAGCAACACCGCGCTCTGATTGGTTGAGCTTCCAGCGCTGTCCCACAGTGACTCGAATTGCCCGGTAGAGGGCGTGACGTTGTTTTCTGAACGGACCTACGTCACTTTGTTGTCGCCCGCCGCCATGAAGCCGAATATTATTTGTCCGAGGGAAAAAAAAAAGAATGAAATAATAATTTAAAAATATATATTCTATTCCTTTTATTACAAATAGATATTTAAATATTAAAAAACTTCTTAATAATTACATCTGTTTAAGTCCTAAATCAACATATTTTGCTGTAAAGTTTATGAAACTCATATATATGCGTGTGTTTAATATTGGCTGCTTTTGTACCCATTTTAGCACAAATCTGATCATGTTAGCCCTTTAATTAAACCATCATAAAAGCAGCTGAATCAGCACCAACTCATTTAATTAAAACACCGTAGAGTAAACGAAGCCGTGCGATGCTCAGAAAGAGGCAGACGTCGGTAGAACGCTTTAATTTCCAACAATCATCAGGCGTCTGGACGGCCTCCAGGCGAGACGACAGGTAGCCTCTTCACCTTACAGAGACGTCCGATCAGCGATTTACAAGGTCCAGCCGGGGTCACGGCGGCCGAGGCTGGACTATTTACAGACAGCACAAAACCACCCAATCATTTAGAGTCCATAAAAACAAACTGATCACGTGGCGCTGGTGTGAGCTGTAGCAACACTGAAGAGTCCTTAAATATGCTTCATCCCTCGGACTCGACGGGACACGTCGGATCTCAGTCCAACTTCCTCTTGGTTGATCCGTAAAGCACTTCAGGTTCAGACGGGAGGTGAAACAACAAGAACCTGGTCCCTTCCATGAGTCCGGAGCCAACCTCCACGTGTCTCTGGCATTATATACAAACTAAAATCATTCAAAGGTGCTTTTCTTTGTACATTATTAAGCCACGGATCAGCTGACTGCATACACCTGGGCTATTCATCTAAACTGCTCAGGGGCCACAGTTACCGAGAGCCAGGAGCTCAGGGGCCGGACATCCAGCAGTTATTGTCATTAAGTTTGTTTTAAGGTTTAAAACCTGGTTTTATTTAAAAAGAACCCATTGGTGGGCCAAGCTGAGCTCCTCGGTGGGCCTGATTTGGCCCCTGGGCCAGCAGTTGAATGGCCCTGGCGGACGCTCTGCGGCAGCTACAGCGAGAAGCGTCAAAGCTCTCGCAGCGATTCGTCTCGCTCAGATTCTGCGTCTTCAAGTATAAAAGTTCGTTCGCAGGAACGTCTCTGCTGCCAGGAGAAAACTCACATCAGAAACGAACCGTTAGAATTTCACGACATCGAATCCCTGATGAGATTTTAGTTTTAAACCATTAAAAAAAAAAACTATCGAGTTTATTTTAACTGCCAGCAGCACTTGGATTAACGATAAAAATGATTTATTTGTTTAAATTCAGGGAGACTTTTGTTTTAAAATATAAACAGGAGACCCGAACTAGAGTTAAAACTTCCCTTACGGAGTATTTTTATGTTTTTACACTAGTTTGACAAAATGTTTTTGAAAGTTGTAAAGATTAAAACGACTGGTCGTAATCATTTTATTTCTCGGCTGATCAGATTTCTCGAGGGCGACGTTTCAAGATTTAAAGCTGCGACGAGTCACTCCGTTCCCCATCTGAACCCACGCCCACTTCCCGCTCCCTCCTCTCCCTCCGGAGGGTTGTCAGCAACTCAGTCGGAGCAACTTTCTGCAGCTGAAAAACTTAAAACCTCACTTTGTTTTGGGTTTGGATTTAACCCCCGTCCACACGGAAACAGCAGTTTAGGAACCTGCACAGTGTTTCTCCAAGTTTCCTTGTCTTGGCAGAACACTCATTTATTACATGATTTTTGGAAGATCATTGAGGGAGGGTGGAGGGTGGAGGGTGGGGGGGGGGGCGTCTGTTCTGCGCTGTCTGTACCGAGAGTTTTCAGAGGGGAGGAGAGACAGGTCAACCTGAAGGAAACAGAGTGCCCTCTGTAGCTTGTTAGCTAGTACATCTGTATTGCGCATAAGTAAATTAGTGCTACGTCTTTTTTTTTTTTTTTTTGGGGGGGGGGGGGGGGTAGGCAGGGCGCTCGCTTCTGTTGACAGGGCGGGGCCCCCTGTTTGTGTAATGGTAGGGGAAACACTGCTGAAGTTTTGTAGTGAAAAACAACAACAAAAAGAAAACACTTGAATTGACATTGTGTTTTCGTGTGGACAGCCTAAACACAACATTTTGAAAACGATGTCATACCCCCCCCCCCCCCAATGTTCCCTGTAGGTACTACAGCGTTTTGAGTCGTTTTTTTACGTTTGCCTGATGAAGATATTTCTGGAAACGATGTCGTGTTTACGAAGATATTTTTAAAAACAACAAACAAGAAGCCGCCCAGAAGAGAAAAAGAAACATCAAGAGAAAAGACGTCCAAAAACAACACTTAGACCCGTGTGTCGCTCAGGTTTGAGAAACTGCAGCAACATATTTATAACGTTGACAGTTTTCTTTTTTGGTAAAACCTAAAAAAAACTTCATGTTGAACTTTAGTATTTTTGACTCAATCTGTCGTTAGCTTCGATGGCTCACAAAAAGTCAAAAACTGTGACCTTCATGGAATAAAACCGTTAAAATAAACACAAAGAGAAATAAAAAACATCTTACAGAATAAAACTATAAAATGATGTTTTCACTGCTAAACGTCCATTTCAGAATAAAAGTGTTTAAAAACGGTGGAACAACAAAACGTTTCATCACAAAAAACCCAAAACAAAAACTAAAACTTTCCACAGATAAACTTCATTTCTGTGATTTTATACGAGGGGATCCCAGAAAACAACCACTCCTTTAATTTGTAAAGACAAAACAAAACAAAAAGTTCCCCTTTGTCCGTAGAAAGACGGTCTCCGTCCACATTGGCCCCGCCCTCTTTCAGTCAATCAAATCCTCCCCGGCTCCTCTGTCCAATCACACGCTGCCGTCTCTTACCTCCGGGTCACGTGATGTCGGCTTCCCACCAAAAACAATCTGGCGATAAAAGTTTATTAGATCCGGCCGAGTGGCCGATTAAGCCACGCCCCTCAGACGATGCTGTCGTGCAACAGAGGCTCCACGTCCTCGTCGCTGGCGGTGGGCGGAGTCTCCTCGTCGCTGCCCGGGAGCGGCGTATTGATGTGGACGCCGGCCAGAGAGGACATGGACTCTTTGGTGTCCGGGCGGGGCTTGTCTCCGAGGGACAGCTCGGAGGAAGAGGAGGAGGTTTTGTCGGGGATGAAGAGCGCGACGAGGAAGGCCACGACCACGGTGCACGCCCCGAGCAGGAAGGGCGGTCCGGGGATGAGCGCTTGCTGCGAGAGACGAGGACAGAGCGTTCGGTTCGGTTCCGTTTTTATTCAGCGACGGTAGAAAAGCGCTCCTTACCTCCGTGGGGCCGTGCAGAGGCAGCGGGTCGATGCTGAACTCGCCCTGGATCGGGTCCACGGTGTTGAGCTCCACGTTGAACAGGAAGAAGACGAACCCGTACAGAGCCGGGCCCAGACCGTTACAGAGCCCCCGGATCCCGGTGATCATGCCCTGGACGACGCCTGCGGAGAGACGAGACGGCTCAGAACATTTGGAACAAAACAAGGAACAGAGTCGACTCCGGTTCTTCCTCAGACCTGGACTTAACGTGCACCGCTCGGACCCAGGGGTCTGAGGACAGAGGACTCACCTTGTTTGTCAGGATCAGCAGACTGGGACACCAGAGCAGAGACCGCTGGGAAGGTGATGGAGGACATGGCTGCCACGGCGCCGGCTGCCCACATCATCCTGGAAACACACACAGCTTTGTATTTCTATCCTTACGAGGTCCGTCAGTTACAGATAGTTCTGCAGCCCAACCTGGACCGGAACCAGAACACGCTGGACCCTGGTTCACACCTTAGTCCTAAATCTAACCCGACCCAAACATGAAGTTCTGCCGTAGAAAGACCAGACCAGGGACTAAAGGTCCCGACTAGATAGAAGTTTGTACCATAAACCTGCACGTCCTCCTGCTGCCCCAAAATGTCCCACAGGACCTTCAAACCTTTTCTTCTGTCAGCTGGTCAAGTTTCTCCTCCCTGTCCTCACTCTGTCCTCTGCATCCTCTGTCCCCACTCCAACTACCTCCATGTCCTCTCTAACTGCATCCTTATGTCTCCTCTTTGTCTTTTTCAGCTGCATTTCTAACATCCTTCTACCAATATACCCACTGTCCCTCCTCTGGACATGTCCAAACCACTGTCCCTC